AAGGGTTGGGGGTTTTGAGGGGGTGAAGTGGGGGGGGGCAGGGAGGGAGCTAGGGAAGGACAGGGGCGGGGCTAGGGCGGGGGCTCCTCCCGTCCTCTTTTTTGCTTGCTGAAATATGGTAACCCTAGTTTACTGTCAAAATAGAGTGGAATCAAAAGTGAAAGTAGAATAGATTTCACGGAAAGTTAGAAGGTGCCCTGGGATAGGGATTCATTCTTCATCTTGCATTTTGGACCCTTCTCTGGCCTGCCAACAGACTTCCCCCAAATCTGCAAAGTTAATAGGACTAATCATGTGAGTAGAGCTAGTCATGCATGTAAGTGTCTGTTGGAACAAGGCCCTTGGACTGTAAGCCACCCTCCCCCCTGCCCTCCCAGGGTAGGGACCATGTCCTCCTATTGTTGTTCCTTATAAAGCTCCATGCACATTTATGATGCTGAATAAGTGATAAATAATAACAGGAATAAATGGTACCCCCAGTGTCCTCATTTAAAACCAAATTAATAAAGTTCACATTGAAAAAGAAGGGTGTGAAAAAAGGTAAATAACATTCTAAGGCCCTTCCCAAAAAAAGATGGTGTTACATTTCATTTTGAATTTCCAAATTTCACTAACAAAAAAGACCCCATAAAATTGTATGGGTTTTCACACTAAGGTAGGATGATTTGATAGCAAAATCAGCCCATTTTCACTATAAAATAGACATATTTAAGAGGGAAAATTGCACACATTTTAGTTTCCCATTCTGAAATTAAAATATCTTTCTGACTGTAGATTGCACAGGTGAAATGTACAATTTTGCAGGTTCTGAAGGTGAAAATGACCATTCTGTGGGAATTGCACACACGCTGAAACTTCTGGGTCACAACATCACCTCGAAGCAATTATGCAAGTTTTCATATTCCATTTATCTAAAAAAATGTTCTGCGCTTTGGCACACTGCAGGAGCTGAAATAGCTCACTAGCAAAAGTAATGTATCTGATCAGCCTCTGCCTAGCTGCCAAGCAATCCCTCTGTCACCCCATTAAAGCTTATTCATTGACTCATGCACAGGACTTTAATAAGGGATAACCTCACTCTTTGTCCCATGCCAGGATAATGGAAGAAACCCAGGTACATAAGATCTGTATTACTCACTATACCAAGAAAACATCCTGGCTCTGCACCTCCAATAGCTCTTCCCTAGATGTCTGATCAGTAGGAATTTTCAATACCTATGCAAATCTCTGTAAAACATGCTGAAGTGTCCCTTTAAAAACTCTTTACTTCTGTTTCCCCACTGTAGAGATGGCAGAATTGTCCTTTCAGGC